AGTTAACAATCTGTTCGAGTTGGAGAGACAAATTCTAAGGTGCAGACATCCAAATGACATGGTAACCCACCTTCGCACACAGTTTTTCGTATCTGATATTTTATATAAGCGTTTGGATACATAACTCTTCTCTAAAAGTAATCGAGAATAACTAAGAATGAGTCCTTGTAGAATACAAAGCATTTTCCTTACCATTATGATGCATTTAGCACTTGAAAACACAAATGTTTTCAAAAAGAAGAAAAAAACAAAGGAGATTTTAAAGGCCATTCCCATTCCGAGTTGGTTCGTTGGAACTTTAGGAGATGAATCTGCTTGGCAACTTACCAGAATTGGAATGTAGCTCTTTCCAAATTTTCTACTCCATTTTCCTTTTTACATAAGATTTAATTTTTTATGGTAAATTGTTTTACTTTTTTGTTCTACACGCAAAGGCAAGATTACATAGGCGACACGGACCATGAGGTGGTCCCACCCCCAGTCAACTTCATCATTACTGGGAAATTCCAACCTCCAAAATTAATAAAAAATAAAAATAAAAAAAATAATACATTCCTCTGCTTATATCCACAATCTAGGGTCTTGATTTCGTCCATTTCATCGTTCGGTTAATAGCACCCGAAAATAGACGGCCATGATCCCTGCATGAAAACACTAGGTGGTAAAGGAGACAGATGCAGTGAGGAGAATCCTGCATGCAGTTGCGGGTACTAAAATTATTGGAGGCAGATTGTCTAAAAACTTTTCATCTTCTTCTATATGTGCAGTTTAATTCAAGTTAATATTTTATATTTTTATTATTTTTTATCTTATTATTTTTATAAAAATATTAATATAAAATATTTACGTAATAACTGTGATCGCACAAAATAAAAAGGAATAGAAAAATATCCAAACAAAAGGGCAGAGAAACTGTCTCCAAAATTATTTTGTAGTCTAGGAGAAGAAGCAGTAAGCAGCAGCTACTGATTGATGTATGTACTGAGTAACTGAAAGTATTAAATAATTGAGATGTAGTTTCTGACACCATTGCTTCTCATCTTCCCAACAGGTTCCGGATCTTTTTTGAGGATTTTAAAGATTTATGAATTTTATTTGTTATATCGTGTCGTTAATTTTTGTATTAATTTTAAATTAAAATATTTAAAATAATTTATGAATACATAATATATAATAAGCAAACATAATTTACAAATTTTAAAAATCTCACAAAAAAAAATCCGAAGAGGATTCGGATTCCTCATCTTCTATCAATCCTCATATTCTTTGCCTTCATTCATTTGTTGTTCAATTGTCAGCAATCGTTTTTTTTTTTTTTTTTTTTTTGAACTTTCTCCCTTTATTTTTCAATTTTCGTTCCATCTCATAATAATTTCTATTAATTAATGAAACTCTTTTTGTTAATTAAAAAATGATGAAAATACTACTTAGTTTTTTATTACACAAAAAGAAAAAAGAGGATGGGACTAGGAGAGTAGAGAATCTTCCTTCAAAAAAAAAATGATGGGCAATAATGTAATTTCACATATTCAAATTTTACTTTTATTTTATTGAAACCTATCTATAGGTGATGTTAAAATACCTCCAATATTAAAATTAAAAAATTAAAAAAAAAAAACAAAAACAAAAATCTCCCACTCTCTCCAGGTTCTCTTTCTCCCTCTCCCTCTCTCCTTCTCATTTTCTAAAAAAATATGTTCATGCACACAAATGGTGTAGGCAAATGCTAGTATTTGTTTATTAGAACGTCTAATTTTAGATAATCTTTTATAAATTAATTTTTCAAAAATTAACCAAATTACGTTGTTTAACTGTTCGGTTAACGTTAATAAAACTTCAGTGTTCAAGTATAAAACATTGTTCGTCTATTTATTAGCTAATAGTTATATGACTAAATAATTTTAAATTTAGCTAATTTTCTGCAAATATGATCCTTAAATGGTGACCAGAAAGTAAAAGATTGATATCATTGAACTACATTTTGAAGGTGTAAAATAAGAATGAAGAAGGTAGAATGCGAAAGTCTCACTAAGAAGATTTGGTAGCATTGCCCATGTAATAAATGTATGTATTGTTTGAGTTTACAAATAGGAAATTCTATTATATCAAACAATTAATCTGATATACACATCCATATCATTAATAATTTGAAGAAGACCTCACGGTTTTGAAGATTTATGAGTTGATATAGACTTTGATTTTTTATTTATTTTTTATTTTTTAAAGGAGACAATCTTTTTCTAATTGGAAAATTATTAAATAAAAAAATAAAAATAAAAAATAAAAAAGAAGAAGAAGAAGAAGAAGAAGATACTTCTTCAAATTTTGAAGTTACAAATGGCTCCTTTTTTAATGTTATTTATTTTTTGTTAATGGAATAAGAATTCGTGTTTTTAATCAGCTAGTGCTCCTTTTTGTTATTATATTTTTGTAACAAAATTTAGCGTAGCCAATTAAGTTAGGCCAATATGCCTCACTTTACACTCAATGCTAGTAAAATAAAACCAAATACTATCCTAAATTACAAGAAAAATCATTAACTTCTAATGGATTGTTCGACAAGGAAGAACATAAGGAGCCAAGGATTTCCCGTTTAGAAATTTATGAAATTATAAGGTGTTCGTCTCCCTTCAATCTACACCACAAATTGTGTTCCATGGACATGTTTGTCGCACAACCTCAATACTCTAGGAAAAACAAACATTGTGCATTGAAGGTAGGGGACTTCAAATTCTGTTGTTGGAGAGCCATTCACTCTAGATTGTAGCCGCATTGAAGGATTCTTATAAGGTGTTGATTGCTTCAATTACTGGAGCTACTTCTACTCATGTTCGTCATCAGACCAATAACGTTACTCATCTGGTTTATATTGCCTTTGGTTTGAAGATCCGCCGAACCTTATTTTAGACTAGCTATTTGTAGAGTGTTATGTTGTGTTTTGTAGGTTGTTCCTTAGCCTTTTTGTTTCTCTCTGTTCACTTTGGTTAATGAAATTATATTGCAGTTTTTTTTTTTCGTCAAACAAGATTACTTCCATTAAAAACTAGTATAAGGCTTGAAAAGAGCCAGTTAAACAACAACAGATAAAAGTAACAGGTCCAAGCAAAAAGAAAGCTGCAACCTGAGAAGTAGACACTGGATCCAAGTCCCCTTCACAAACCCTACAACTATATACAAACAAAGTACTTTATGGATAGAAAGTGAGGCTAACGGATATGTAAAATACCTTTTCTGTGGCGGAGGCCGCATAAAACTTGACCTCGATGGGGATCCAACATGCTAGTTGGGGGAGAGGAAGTGGGGAAGGAAAGTGGATCTGATATCTAATTTTTTATTAGAGCCCGCATTTCATGTTGTAAACTGAAATAGAAAGGAACGAAGTTAACCAAAAAAATTTAGAAGCCTTGAGTGCTGAATGATTCTTGGGATGAGTCGTGGACTAAGTCACTCTCTTTAAGACGTTTCACAGCTCTGCCCAAAGTGTGCAAGCAGTTCACAAACACCACGTCGTCCCCAGGATAAAACAGCCCAGAACCTTCTTCTTCTAATAGGTTCTTCCTTGCACAATGAAAGAACCTTCGAACTCACACATTTTCTATATGTTGCTTTCAAAACTCAATTTAAAAAAAATAATAAGCCATTGTTTCTTTTTCTTCTGCTTCTTTAATCTGAAACAGGGAACATATATATATGCAAGAAATTAAAATATACGTTGCAAATTTTTGAGATTCAAGGGCTTGAAAATCTTAAAGAATCAAAACTGAAGAAAACCAAAATGTTCAAATCAAAACCGTAAATATTCAAACAGAACAAAAAAATGTACAAGGACATAATCTGACCTAATCTTCTTCTCTGTTCAGAGAAGGGATCCCATCAATTAATGTGAGAAAGCTTTCTCATGTTTCAAAAGAAGTGGAGGAGATTACTCCTCATCAAAAAGTAAGATTAAAGACAATTTAGGTTATATATATATATATATAATATGATTGTAATAAACCCAAATATAAAAACCACAATAGACAAAAACATAGCAATTAAAATATTTAAATAAAAACATATTTACTCCAACATATCCGAGCAAAAGAAGTGGTGGGGATAGAATCACTTCTAAGGAGGAGGGAGGAAGGAAAAGTAAACAACAAAAAGCAGTAAAAAGAGGCGAAAAAAAACTCTGGATAAGGGGCATAAAGCTTGTTACAAACTCAGGAGGTAATTGAGACCAAGCTAAAAAAAACTGAGATAAAACTCAGACGAGAACCAAAATAAAAGAAAAAGGAAAAAGACTGGAAAAGGGGAAGGAAAATGAGGTGAGATGTTGTGAATGGAAAGGGGCAGAGGAGATGAGATGGGAGGAAAAGATGGAAAGGGCAAAGGAGAAGGGAAGGAAGTAGGAGGAAAAAGGGAGGAAGTAGCAAGCTGCAGCCGACCCCAAGTACGAGCAAGGGACAACGGCTGAACTTTGATCTAGGGTTGAGTTTTGGCAGCAGCACAAAGATTTTAGAGAGAGATCTTCTTCTACCCTTGGGTCGCCTATCACAATTTCTTAAAATAAAATGAAAAAATAAAAATATATAAAAGAAAAAACTTTTTAGCTAAAATGGCCCCTGAGATTTGCTTAACTCCTCACTTTGATCCCTAAGATTGTCCACCATTAATCATTTTGGTCATTCGGTGAAAAATTATGTTAAATAAAGATCAAAATGACAAAATCACCCTCAATATAAAAAACAATAGGCCAAATGATTTGACAAAGATTAAGGGTATTTTGGTCATTTTATTCTTATTTTATGGAGATTTTTCAGTAAATGACCAAAATATTTGATTGTGGACAAACTTAGGGACCAATTTTATTGATTTCAAATTTCAAAGACCAAAGTAATGGGTTGTGCAAATTTTAAGAACCATTTTAGCTAAAAAATAAAAAATAAAAACAAAAAAAGGGAGCGTTCTAGTATAAAATTACCAGAGCACCAAATATTCCACCAACTTTTTCTTCTTTTTTTCTTTATTTTTTCCACTTATCATTGCTTTTTATAAATTTGCAGTTGTCTTTAATCTTTATCAACGAAAATCTCTCTTCTGAAATAATCAGTGCACCCACTGCACGTTTTCTGTATATCTCTTCCTTCTCCATGAGGGGACCTCAGTTCCAAGTCTCCAAAGCATGACTCTTGGTCTCTGACACCACTCTCTCTCTCTCTCTCTCTCTCTCTCTCTCTCTCTACACTCTTCAAGCTTGCAAGCCTAACCTTTGTCCTTAATTTTGTTGGTAACAAATTTCCAGCATAAACAATCTTAATGGAGTCGATGTGCACCTAATCCAACAAAACCCACTTCCCTAAATCCTCATATTCCATCAAATATTTCTTCAATTTAGTGTTAGAAACACCCCAAAGCTCCAAACTTTAATGTCTGAATGCTCTGTTCTTTGCTTTCCGGCAGAGTTTCAGCTTCTGGGTTTTTGAACTTTTAACCTCGGAACATGTCCCAAGTCGACTTAGAGCAAGGGCCCCACCGCCGCTCCTTCTCCGGAAGCGCCGACGGCGGAAGCAGCGTCTGCTTCTCCGACGCAGACGACGGGTCGTGTTACACTCAGTTCTTCTCGACCAATGGCGGCTCCTACGACGAGTACAATTTTGCGTCTCAGATCGGCGTGGTGTCGGATTCCCGGAGAGCCTCGTCTGTTTCGGACAGTTCGGTCGAGGTTGTCGAAATTGAGATTGGTGTGCCGGAAATTAAGGTGCATTTGGATAGAGTAGAGAGAGATTGTCGGATTTGTCATCTGGGTTTGGAGAGTAACAGCCACGAATCCGGGGCTCCGATTGAATTGGGTTGTTCTTGCAAGGATGATTTGGCTGCTGCCCACAAGAACTGTGCTGATACGTGGTTCAAGATTAAGGGCAACAAGTGAGTTAATTTCTCTCTGTTTTTTTCATACATATTAAATTTCAAGTCCTTTCGGTAATCGTTAGCTTTTTTTTTTTTTTTTTTTTTTTTTTTAAAAGACAATATTATCTACATTAAAAGGAACGCAAAGTTTAGCCTAGCTAGCAATAATATGATTTAAATTCGTCTTTGGCGATAATCGAACCTAACACCTCTCACTAACAAGTGAAGAGGAATATCACTAAATATTAAGTGACAGCTACCCCCTAGGGCGGAATGGAGAATCGAACACTGGACCTCGGTATTTAGTTTGTAGCATTATACTTATATTTTTTATTTGGTATAGTTTATGATTGTGATTACATTTGATAATCTAGTTAGCCCTTAATTGATCGAGATTTACCCGATTCTTAGTGTCGAAGTAAGTCTAGTAATAGTTGGTTAACACATAGAAAGGTTCTGGATAGGAGATATGCAGTTCAAACGTGAGTTAGGCCAATTGATCTTATTAGTATTGCCGCTCTCTTGCGTTAAAAATTCTCATTATGTAGACTAGATTAATTTAGAATATCATCGTGTCGAAAAAGGAGAGGATTATTCAAAGAGGGCAGACAAAGCAAAGGGAAAGGGGAAAGCATTGAAATGTGTCCAAGTACTGCTTTGTCTTTTCTACAAGTTTAGGAATCTCTGCTCCTCTGTGATTCTCTTTCGCTTTTACGAAAGTAGGGATATGACATCTTACTGATATTTCCACTCGATTTATTAATCCTTGGGTTGTCTGCCTAAGCACTAAATAATTGGTGATTTCCTGTGTGTATATCCACATTTCCTATTCATCCACCATGCTTAGTGACAAATCACTTTTCATATGCATATTTTGAGTATGATAGATGGAGAATTATTGGTCTAATGTTTTGAATTCAAAGTAATCGAGCTTTTGACGGATTGCCATCTGTCGTTTATCATGAGGGTTCTCTCATGTCACTATTTCACCATATGACAATCGTTCATTGGATGAGTCGTGCACTTTTTAAACAAACAATGCAATCATGTATTGGACGGTGAAGCCACTGGGACTAAAACTTGGTTTCTTGAGAGAATCTCTCAATTATATGTGTAGCAATGCCAGAATAGATGCTGACGGTAAGATGTGTGGTGGCATTGCCACTTTTAATCCCAGTTGGCAGCCATTGTGTTATATCTCGTTATTGCAATTTGCACATGTCCTGGTGATGCTCAGAGATTCCTTAGAGCTAGACATTGATATCCAAATCCTTAACAAATACATGGTGCAGATACTTCATATGAAACCTGATAATTTCGATGTTTGAATCTGATGAGATTTTATGAAATTTTATTGTATATTTGTAAAAGCTGTGCAATATGATCTCGCATATGCTGTTCGTCTTGTTAGTTGTTACACTCCTACCTTTTAGTCTTAAACTTTTATCTCTCACAGAAATTTCACGACTGTTGAGTGGGGTGGTAAACTTCGCGGCCTGCCGACATTTGTATCAAAAAATGGCAATTTGTCTCGTTAAAAGTAGAACTAGGATGTTGGCCTTTGATTCTTGATTGTAGGTTTCAGAGTTTAATTTGTTTTCTCATCCAGCCATAGTGATTCATCTTGGTTTATTTAATTGATTTCCGCTTACCTCACGTAAACTTATCGCCTGCTTCTGAGATTGTTATTCATTGGAAATTAGTCTTTTAGATGATAACGATTAGGATACTGTATTGATTTCACTACATGTTTTCCACTTTCCAGGACCTGTGAGATATGCCAGGCAGTTGCACGCAACGTCGTTGGGCCAAATGACATTGAGTTCACAGAGCAGTCGAACGAATCCAGTACTGCCTCAGCAACAGCTTCAGTTGCCGCCCCAGGGCCGTCCACAGAAACTCAAAGTTTCTGGCACGGTCACCGCTTCCTCAACTTCCTTCTTGCCTGCATGGTATTTGCTTTTGTCATATCATGGCTCTTTCACTTCAACGTTCCGTCGTGAAATCCCGAGCAAAGTGTTGAGAAAATTGGATAATCAAAAGGAAGAAAACAAGTGTAAAAGAAAGCTGCAGCGTTCATATAGATTAGTAGTAATACATCATATGTTCCCTCATGCCCACTTCTCTAGAGTGCTTCTTGTTCATAAGTCGCAGCGTTTATCTGGTCTTCTCTTCAAGGCTTTTTACGTGTCAAAAAATGGGTATCCCTCGATCCTAACCCGAAATATAATTATATAAAATATATATTTCTTTTTTTTTTTTTTTGTTTTGGCCGGAGGATGTGGTATTCTCTGAAGAGTAGGAAGATTGCTGAATTGAATTGTAAAATTGCTTCATTGTTCTTGTATCATACTACATCCAACCACATCATCAAGTTCAACTACTATATGTTACTCGGCAAACCTATGTGGCATGTTTACTTACATGGTACGAACAAGTCATGAATTGGAGTATGAGATCAATGTATTATTTCGCGGAGATTTGCTGCTTAGCGCGAGAGCCGCTCAATTTGTGTCAAAAGAGACTCACGCCCCTGTTACTTGAAGTTCACGAATCCGCTCTTGTAATGGATAAACCTCAGCATGCACGTAGTTACGTCAATGGTTGGCAAATTGGTCGTTTCGATGTTGTCCTCGTAACGGAGAATACACTGCACGCTCCTGGTTGCGCCGGCAATCAACCGGTGGTGTTCTCAAATTGAGAAAAGGAATCGACTTTTGATTCCACAATGCTAAAGTAGGAAAGGCGAACCATATGTGTTAATAATCGTTCACAGGGATGCCAGAAACACAAATTATCAAAACCAAGAGAATAATCTTCCGAAAATCCTGAATTGAAGCAAGCAAAGCTTAAAGCCTTAAAATACCCAAATCATAACAATAATGAATTAGATACAAGACTAAACAAAATACTACGAATAAAAGCGTCGCCGGGATGTTAACGGAGGAAAAGATGAAGGGGAAGAAAAAGAAAAATTCTTAGGCTATACACTTCAAGTTTTGTTCTTTTTGGCTTCCAAATTTGTGCCATCTTTGAGTGTTTCTTGTGCATCATTGTCCATGCCAAGCCTGAACAGGCAAGCTGCTTGAAGATATAAAGCCGCCGGCCACTCGGGAGAAACCACCTGGGCTTGCATAGCGTCCCCAAGAGCTTCTTGTGCCATACCACTCATCAGGTAAGAGAGGCAGCGCCGAGCATACACCGTGGGTGATACCATGGTCCCGCCGTCAATGAACTACAAAAGACACCAGAAGAGGGTGCAAACATAAGTCAGCCAATGCTAGTCTCCTGATCTTTCCCAATAGCATTGCAAATAAGAGAAAACTGTTTGACAATTTATATCATATGATCGACAGTTTACGTACAGAAACAGTGCAGAAATGAACAAAATCTGAAACTGCTATCAGACTCTGAGGCTTACTAAACTGTTTGGGAGCATTCTTGAAAAATAAAATATAAAATCCAGGTACAGGTCACTTTTTGAATGTCTTTAAGTTAGGCAACCAGTTTAAAATTATTCCCGAACAAAAACTCACTTCTGTATAGGAATCAATCGCAGTTGTAAATTCTTTAGCTCGAAAAGCAGAATCTCCACTCTTCTTAGAATTCAAAGTCTCCTGCATTTGATTAGTCCACAGCTGGAAAGAAAGCTGCAGGGCCAAATATCTCGAGCAAAATTAGCACTACAGTAAAAAATTATATTTAAAACAAGCACTTGTTGCTTATCAAACTTCACATACACAATCTTTCTATCGAATATCACAGTTCAAAAATCGAGTACGGGGCAGACAGGAACAAACCTCATTAGCAATGCCTTCATCGTCCTTGTATCCATTCTTTTCCAATATTTCATGTATGGCAGTGAGATCCCTTCTCAAACAAGCTTCTCCAAAAGGTGTTAATGCCAATGGCTGTGTTGAGGATGCGGTTTCATGTGCAATACCCATCAAAACATGTGAAGCAACCTGTTTGAAAACTATGCAATGAGAAATTTTACCCTTCTCAAGCAAACTTATAGCTGTTAAATGGCAGGCTAACACTAAACAATGCCATGTCCACAATTGAATAGGGGAAAAGTAAATTTCACTTTAAGCAAGAAATTTCCTTCCCCGCATCTGTTTTTAAGTTGAAAAAGAAAAGCGGTTAGTATCAAGAAAAGGTGACGGGTATAATCACACTCGAAAAGGTAAACAATTTAAGAATAACATAAGAGAGAGATAGTGCATCAAAGTGGGTAAAAACGTAAAAGGCTTAGGGTTTGCGATCTATTACAATGGTACCAGAGACAACACAAGTTTAGAAGAATATAAACCCAATTCATGTCTAGGACTCTACGTTAATTATGTGAAATATCTCAGCTATACATGTCAGATATTACAATGCATCTTTCTCAAACTCGGGGTCAAACGACTCTAACCTATATCTGGCTTGTTTATACAAGTTCAAGGTAGTTTCTCGTTATCACCCATGATTTTCAGATGTTGTCAATGTTTTTCTCACATTTCACATAACAACGTAGACATGTGTTAGGTTCGAATTCTTACTATATGAAATCAAATTGGGATACTGTTAAACTGATTTGACCAAAAGATATTCGGATTAAAGAGAGAAGGAATATAGACGGTGTGCAGAGATGGTTGGTTGCAATATAACAGATCACCGCGGTGACAGTGATAGCTGGTAATAGCTAACAAATTAGTGAAACCATTAATTGGTGGCTCTGATATCATGTTAGAATAGAGACGCAAAACAAAGAAAGAGGAAATAATGCATGTTGTGAGTGAGTAATAATGTATGTACTAGGGAAAGCCTAGTTATACGTTTGAGGGGTGCAGTGCATTACGAGGAAAAAGTAAGAATCTAGACCTAATATTTGTATGGGATTATATGAAATATGTGAGATCCACAGTAACAATAATGAAAGAATCCTTACCTCTGTTTCTTTCTGAAGTGACATGAGAGCAGTGATGAGGGACTTTGCATTTGGCCGCTCCCGAGCTTCATATTGCAGACAACGGGAAGCTAAGCGTACTAACTCAGTTCCAGTCATCGTTTGAGAAATTACCCTCCAAAGCAGAATCCATTAGCATCAGGAAATTCTTTCCGCGAATTAGATCTAGTGCCTTCAAACAAGACATGCAAACATGGTCACCCCTAATTCATTAGGAGTCATAAAACAGAAGGGTCCTATGGGTGTTAATAACGGTTAGTTTTCATCAGTTTACAAGTATTACTTCTGCAATCACCAAGGACCAACTTTTGAAGCAAAAAAGTATTAGCGGTAGGAGCATGAAACTGCTTACCAGTATTATTACCCAAACACCAAGCTACAAAGAATCCATAACTACTAGGGACCAAATACAACAACAAAGCCTTTTCCCACTAAGTGGGGAGGGACCAAATGAAACAAAGAAAACGATAATCAGGGGGAATTCACCCATATTTTGGAATTGTTTAGTTGAGACCAAACATTTAGATATCTTTATTTTCTCTTTTCCCAAACACAGTGCATATTTATGCAAAGATTCCGGGACCCTAGCTTGCTATTAGGCATCCAAAGAAACTCATGTAGTAAGTTTCTTTCCAATAGAGATTTTTTTTTTTTTTTTTTGGGTCCTTTAATTCCCTGCTACTATATATCGTGAAACGTCATTGTAAAGAAAAATCACCATAGAACTCACATGGCTGGGGGGAATATGTTTGCCACTTAGAAGATCAAGCAACAACGTTCCAAAGCTGTATATTACACTTTCTTGCGTCACCCTACCTGCCAACCAAAGCATGTGTATACTTATGAAGTTATAGTACCTTTTGATCATATTGAAAGCTTGAAACCCAATGCAATTCGTAACTTAAAGGAAAGGGGAAAACAGATCAAATATGTAATCCTGGTTTCCATGCGTGCCACCGACAGTCCAATATACAACCTGGCATCCTTCTAACATCGAATTATACTGAAAGAGATTGATGAAACCCTTGTTCTTATAAAGAATAAAGGTGGCACAAAAGCTTGTTAATTAACTTTTCAGTACAGAAATCCCCAATTCAGTGAATTGATTCCCCAAATTCGAATTCAGTTCTAAGCAAATGGGTCTTCACGACAGTGCCTCAGACGAAATTCAAAAGCACAATGTCGCTAATACTAAACCAAAATCTTTTCGATCAAAGTGATCATACCTGTCCTGAGGTACTCAGGAGGAGTGAAAGCCAAGTTTGTACTGTAACTCTTGCCATCCCTGCTATTCTTCATGAGGCCAAAGCATGACAGCCTGGGATTACCATCCTGTGTACAAAATAAAAAACCCAAATGGTAAATAATAAAAAACAGATAAACCCACGATTCGTAACCTCGCGGGAAGTTGTTGCATTCCCTTCCACTCGATTATAACAAAAAAAAACAAAAAGATTAACCCCCAAAAAATTCAATCCAATTCGAAAAACAGAAGACTTTATAACCTACCTGATCAAACAAAACCCTGTAGGCATTGAGATCATGGTACAAGGCTCGACCTTTGCTGCTGCAATAGTCGAGAGCCTGAGCAAGATACAGCGCCACCCTCAGCCTCATCGCCCACCTCATCGGTTGGCTCTCCCAGTGGAACAAGTGCTTCGCCAGCGTCTCGTGCGCCATGAACTCCGCCACGAGCAGCCGCTCCTCCCCTTCGCAGCAGCATCCGATCAGATTCGCCAGCCTCTCGCTCCTCAGGCTCCCCACCGACCTCGCCTCCTCCTGCAAACAAAAATGATTCAACCTTTCCTTATTTTTTCAGAAAACAAAAATCTGGGACTGGGATTTATCGAAATGTTGAAAAGTGGAAGGAGGGTTGAGTTTGACGGACGAGGAATTGGCGATTGTCGGGCCAGGCGAGCTTGTTGAATCGCTTGACGGCGATTAAGCGGCCGTTGTCGAGCTTTCCCCTGTAGACAATGTTCGGAGCTTTTTCTCCGTGCTCGGAGACGATGTTGTCGGAGGAGAAGCCGGACGTGGAGGCTTTCAGTTGGTCGAGGCTGTACTCCGTGAAGGCCGGCCATATGCTTTTGTCGCTTTTGCCCCCATTGTCTGCAACAAAACAGTGACCGAATGGTCCGAATCCCACTCAGAAGCTCAAAAAACAAAAACGGAACACAGAGAAGAAGGGTTGGTTACCCAGTTCGGAGGATTCGAGGTCGGAGGGTTTAAGGTGGGAGTGGAACCAGCAGAAGGAGAATCTGGAGCAGCGGGCTCCCATTTGAGATCCAGCAGTGGAGAGCGAGT